GGTGCTCTCTTCTCCCATGAGGTGAATTTTCTCAAGGCCTGAAGTAGTCACTAAGTTGTGACCTGGCCACTCGCTGAATACCTGCCTGTCCCCCGGTTGCAGATGTAAGCGTCAAACATGCTTCCCTGCTGCTGTGGTAGAAGACCACCCGAGGAGGGTGAGGAGCCACCACCTGGCTCTTTCCTCCCAGGGGGCGGCCCCTACTCTTCCCTTCTGTAAAAGGGTATGAGCGCTTGCCTCCTGACTCTGGCTAGAAGACAACGCCCTAGGGCGTTGTGTTTTCTGTGCTTGAGGTGTCTTCCACTTGGATTCATTCTGAACCCTCTGGTTCATTGCACTCCAAAGCTTCGAGACTGTACCCACCATTTCCTGAACAAAGAGGGTAGAAGATGTCCAGTCTGCATCACTGAGGTGGGTCGTACGCCCTAACTCCCTGGGGAAAACACACACGTCTAAGGCAGCATCTCGTTGCACAGTAGTAGCCACCCTGTGTCCCACTCTGCACTCGGACGAACAGGGAGAGACCTACCGATGGGGTTGCTTTGAATCCGGTGCCTGTAATCCCATAAGCGTTGAAGCAACTGTAAGTGGTCGCCTTAGGATTAGGGGTGGGGGTATTTACATCGTATCACTAAGATCGATGAAACTCTGTATCACCCCCAAAGGCATGGCTCACTGAGTCGTTACAGATGAAAGACTCTGACGGACCGCCTGAGGTATCGGCTGTATCTGGCACGAGCGAACTGTGTCTCATTTTCACTTTGAATATGTGAGAGAGAGAGCGTGTTCGAATATGTGTCTCATGACAGGGTCGGTTCCCTCTGGGGACGCCCATGGGTCGGTAATAAGGGAGTCAAAACCCACAGCGAAAACCGGACACAAAGGTAAATTCGTTACCGTTGTACCATTACCATGCAACGAACCCTGGCTGGCTGAAAGTAGGGGGGTCAACGTGTGCCCTGCCCTGAAAGCCCTGCCCTGAGATTGGAGGCTTCGCTGCCAGCACCCCGTTGGCATTCAGTGCCTGAGGCTCCAGAGGAGACCCGGTGCAATTAGCCTGAGCCTCGGCCTCACCCAAATTAGTGGGAGAGCCACGGCTGGGAATGGGGGTTCCCCAGAAGAGATGTGTTTGAATGCAAACAATGCTTTCATGTTTCTTCTTGCTTGCCCACCGGGGGCCGCAGTGTCTGATCTACCTGGCCTGCCAGGGATGCAATTTGCCCCGACAGTCCTTCTACCAAAGCCCTCAACTCTGAGGCAAACCCGGTGCCGTGCGAGGAATGATCTATGAAAGGAATTGTGACAGGCCCCATAGGAGGAAGAAAACTCCAGGGGCACAGCCTCGCTGTAGCTGGTAAAAATCGGGTAAATCACCGCCTGAAAACACAGACTATGAGGATGCCCTTCGATCAGCTGGGGGAGACCGAAAAAATATTGGTCGGGTCTCCTACTCGAAGGTCCCGGTACGAGAAGCACAGGTAAGCGAGTGTGAGACTTTCCACTCATGCCAAACACACGACGCAGTAAGTCTCAGCGATTTTATGGCTCTGAAAAAAATATCTCAGGCCTCGGAACTCCAGTGAAAAACGCACGCTTTCAAAGCAAAGACTCCGACCCTCGGACGCAGCCACGGCAAAAAGCATATCGGATGCAGGTTCTATGCTGGTAAATTCTTAATATAACCACTGCACAGTCGACTCGAAAACGAGGAGACCAAAAAACGGCAGCGAGTCATGGAGCTGTCATTACATCTATTCATTTCTAAATACGTAGATCAAGTATAAAATGAAGACATACATGAGGAAAGCGAATTACAGTAGCAAAAGTTAACATAACGCAATCCACAAGTGATTAAGCTACGAGGTCCAGGTTTTATTTCTTTGTTGTGAAAAATGCTACACACAAAAGGGAAAACGACACGAGGTAAAAATGACAAGAAAAACTTACAATGTCGCATGCCGCCCAGCGGCAACAACCCAAGCAGAACAGGAAAAAAAAGCAAGCGATCCAGGCAGAGCTCGCTAGATTTCATCTCCATTCGAGGCGGAGAGAAAACCAGAGTGATTAGCCAGCCGTATGGGCGCCGCCATATGGCCTCGGTCACGTAGTTTGTGACGTAAGGGAAAAAAGTCTTGGGGTCATGAGGCTTCCCCTGACCTAGATTCTATCTCTCAGTCATTGGCAGAATCGCTGATTAATGCCTGCAGTTCAAAATAGTCATTTTGACTAACCGGAGTCTATGGTGAGTAATGGAACGTAGTGAATTAACATAGTATATGTTTTATCAAATATTCCAGGAGGATGGATTTATGTCATGGAAGAATGTTGCTTGGACACACACCACTGTACAATGCATTTCTAAGGGTTGTGCCTGAGTTGCTGTGGAACACTGGTCAAAGAGGTAGTAAAAACAACGATGTCAAGAAAATAGCACAAACTCAACTTTTGGATAATCTTGAGAAACAAGATTTATACATGTTGTATATGTACATGTAGGGGTAGTCTTGTTACACTGTTCAGGAAAGTCTCAACAACTAACCCAAAGTATATTTTATCTGGAATTTTCGGCATTTTTCACAGGTGATGGTTGTCAGATGCTGAAAATGCCTGGATTTTCACTCCTGAGAAAACTTGATTTGCTCTTAGAAGCACATATGCTTTTGTAAATGAATTGTTGAAAATATGCATCAATGTGGGTTAAGTGGTATTTAAAGGGTGGCGGTGAAAAGTGTTGTCAGCAGTGAATTTCTGTAAATAACAAATGAATATATTTATGTTGTAGATGTATGGGACTCGCATTTTACACATGTTGTAGATGGAGTATGGACTCACATTTTACACATATTGTACATGGAGTATGGGACTCACATTCTACACATGTAGATGGAGTGTGGGACTCACATTTTACACATATTGTAGATGGAGTATGGACTCACATTTTACAATGTTGTGGATTGAGTATGGGACTCACATTTTACAATGTTGTAGATGGAGTATGGAGTCACATTTTACACATGTAGAGTATGGACTCACACTTTACACATGTTGTAGAGGGAGTATGGAACTCACATTTTACACATGTTGTAGATAGAGTATGTGACTCACATTTTACACATGTTGTAGAGGGAGTATGGACTCACATTTTTACACATGTTGTAGATAGAGTATGGACTCACATTTTACACATGTTGTAGA